AACAAATGAGTTTTACTCACAGCCACGTAGAACTAAAGTGACAGCCCACTAAGACTCTAGTTATGGTCACTGCATTATTTTCAAACGTTTTGTAGCAGTAAGAAGAAATGTGTTCAATGTTAGTGACTGGTTGGTATCATTATTCTGACACTGGTTATGTGATTATGAAATAAAATCACGTTTATCATAAAATATGAAAAATCCTTACCTGAGCAATTTCTTCAGGGGTTGTCACAGGTTTAGACTGCTTCTTAAGTTCAGCAATTACAGCATCAACAGCTAACATCACACCTGATTAAGAATAAATGCCATTACAATGCTTATTCTCTCATGGTTCCTCGTCAAGTAAAAATTTCAATTCATGTTAAATGTTTTAATGTGTTAATAAGCCTATACAATGCTTCTGTGCCAGCACTTTTCTTAATCTCATGGAGTTGAATGGCATGCACTGAAACAGGAACTTTAAAAAATGAAGACTCACAGAACAAAATTATTTTGAAAACTGGACTAAGGGAAAAAAACTGTATAATTTCAAGAATCTCACCATTCAACTCATTCTGTATAAACTATTCCCAATCCAATCATGTTGCATGTTTCCAACAGGGTCACCCAATACTTCCCTCAATTGAATGACACAATTATGCCCCTACAGGTTTTAATTATCTGAAATTTCCTCATTTAATATGTAATTATAAGCAAAATATTTGTTCTAACAGTCAACAGCATCACAACATGGATTTAGGATCACCCAATTTTGTTCAGTCGGGATAGTGCTGGCTCTTCCCTTATTTTGAGAAATGTAACTTCAAGAAAAAAATCCAAAAAAAGGCATGTAGTAACAATCATTTCTTTGGAGAAGTAATCTTAATAACCTCAATTAATACTTGTCCATGATTTACACTCAGACTGCTTTTTTTTTTTTTCCCCGAGAGAAGGAAGAGAGAGCGGGGGGAGGGGCAGGCAGAGAGGGAGAGAGAATCTCAAGCAGGCTCCATGCCCAGCACAGAGCCTGATGTGGGGCTTACCCTGAGATCATGACTTGAGCAGAAATCAAGAGTCGGACGCTTAACCGACTGAGCCACCCAGGTGCCCCTCAAACTGCTTTTTAAATGTAACATTCATTTGGACCTCAAACATGGAAATAGATGGAATGCTGATACATCAGTGTGCTGGGATGCCAATTCTGACAAAACCTGTTAATAGCATCCCCCTTTACTCTCAAGTCTCCTAATATAAACAATAATATACCGTAGAGATAAGTAACAATTACATTTTCAAGATAGAAAAACCAAGTTTGACTACATAGCTAAAAAAAAAAAAAAATGGCAGTGACAGGACTTCAGTCTATATCATCACTATGGAGCTCATGCTGAGGTGCAGATCTTTAAATTGTGGCCTAGTTCCCCAAAGCAAGCAATAATAAACAAAATGAAGACCACTAATGTACTATGTGCTCTTAAGAGGGAAAAACAAACAAAACCCCCTGCTTTTCTATATATATTTAAAAAATTTGATTATCCTGGGGCACCTGGGTGGCTCAGTTGGTTAAGCGACTGCCTTCGGCTCAGGTCATGATCCGGGAGTCCCTGGATCGAGTCCCGCATCGGGCTCCCTGCTCAGCAGGGAGTCTGCTTCTCCCTCTGACCCTCCCCCTCTCATGTACTCGCTCTCTCTCATTCTCTCTCTCTCAAATACATAAATAAAAATCTTTAAAAAAAAAAATTTTTGATTATCCTGAGTGACTTCGTTTAGCCCTACTTTGTAATATATCAAAACTGTATAATCTCTCCATGTGCTAATCCCCAAAAGTTTACTATTTTCAAGGTACACAGTACATGCTGTATCTTTCAATAAACTTCCCTCACATGCTGGGCGGGAAGAGGGGTTGGGGGCTCAAGACACGGAGGAGAGAAGGAAAAGGAATGTCTTAGTTGTATTTCCCTCCTTAACACCTAGCATAGGACACACTACATAAGCCAGGCATCCAATCACTTTCTGCTGAAGGAAAACTCAGGTTTTTTTTGTTTTTTGTTTTTTTGAGTGAGAGGAGAAACCAGAATCAACTTTTTAAGACACTTCAAAACACTGTGGTGACAATGAAGAGACTTTCCTACCTCTTCTGATTTCCACAGGATTAGCACCTTTGCTAATCTTCTCGAAGCCCTCCTTGGCAATAGAGCGTGCCAAGACAGTAGCAGTCGTGGTGCCATCCCCAGCCTCTTCATTTGTGTTATTGGCGACATCTTGAACAAGTTTAGCGCCAATATTTTTATATTTATCTTTTAAGTCAATTGACTTTGCTACCGTCACACCATCTTTTGTTACTTTGGGACTTCCCCAACTCTGTTCAATAATCACTGTTCTTCCCTATAATTAGAGGAAAAAAAAAATGTGACAGAACATAAGTGCTATTTAGCTTAAAATACAATGAGCAGTTTTGAATAATAGGATAATTACTTGAAAGTCCCAACACAAATTGTCAACTTTTATTAGATCTGCAGCATGAATCTCAAAGGCAAATTCATCAGTGTTCTTAGCTTATAGACAAAATGACCTCTTCTGCCAAGTGCTTAACTTTGCAAGAGATTTTATGATAGATAAAAATCCTAGAGACTGCAAGATGTCAACTCATTAAAAAAACAAAACCAAAAAAACCCCCCAAAGCCCCCCCCAAAATAAACCCAAACAATCTGGTAGATCATAATAAAATTCCAGAATATTCTTCACGTAATTTATAGTTTTGTCCGGTGCCTGCTACCTTTGAAAGTAATGTGAAAACTTACTTTTAAACTGGCTTTAAAATTTAGCTACTAAAATACCAACAGCAAGGCAAGTACAAGTCACTCTTCCAGGGAGGGCTGCTTCAATGTTAAATCTCAATCATGGTGCAAATAGTACTGGCAGCTTCTGGATTTGAACCAAAGCTGCTACTTGTGAGGCATGCCATATGTTATACAGTATATATCAATACTTTGACACTGGAACTGTCAGCCTGAAATCAAGCATCACTCCACTGCGCATCACCTTCAAAGGCCTTCTCAAATTATGTTACCCCTCACTCACCACCTCTTCACCTTAAATGAGACTTAAAATTCTAAATGTGCTTTGGAACAGAATGGACAACATAAAAACACTAAGTAAAACTAGCACCTACAAGCACATGCTTTAAGTACTACATACTAAATTACATACTTCCATCAATGGTACGAACTACTGGGAAAAAATCTAAAATTTAGGCAAGCAAGAGTAAGTCTACCTTCCATTAATTCTACCTTCCGTTTGCGAATCCACTTTGATCTGTGAGTTACCACTCTGTTACATCATACATTATAGGAAAGAAAGTTCCGCAAATTTTAAAGAAACAATTTAAGTTTTAAGACCACTGTATCTAAGTAAAAGAAAAAAAAGATTAAGCAGTAACTGGGAACTCTTATGGGTATATTGAGGTTTCTCAACAATGGATACTATTCAGTAGCTCCGTGTGACTATATGGTATCATTAAAATATTATTCCTTAACTCACAATACTATAAATTACAACAAAATAAAAACAGATACCTTTGGCCCCATAGTAACGGCTACAGCATCGGCTAAAAGGTCTACACCTTGAAGCATTAAGGCTCGGGCATCCGCACCAAATTTTACGTCTTTGGCATAGGCCCGAGTGAGATGAGGAGCCAGTGCTCTGGACACTGGCCTAATTTGGCGAAGGACTGCGGGTAATCGAAGCATTTCTGTGGAGACGGGGGGGGGAAATCAAATTAGCAGTACATCAATACTAGCAGTACCCCTGTGTATTACAGCAAACATGACATCTATACACCACAATAGAACAAGAAATGTTAGATGTAAGTTGGATTGACCTCTGCCAGTCACTACACCCAGGCCACGGAAACACGGGTTCAGAACACCAGCTACCTGCGTTAAGTCCCCACGTGAGGCCGTCCCCGCGCCTAACCGAGAGCAATAGCACAAAGCACACACCATCTGCTTCCCCAAGGCCACCTACCCCAGCCGCTAAAAACGAGTTAATCTTTCACCGCTAAAATACCCTTAAGAGCAAATCCATTCCAAATGTCCTGAAAAACCAAGTCTGCAGGAAAGGAGTGGTCTATAAACTAGAGCGACCAAGGGAGAAAAAACATTTCTGACGATGCAAAAATCCGCTTAGCAAGATGTGTCTTCATGTATCCACTCGGGGCTACCGTATCAGAGCAGCCCGCAAGGCCGCGAGGCTGGGGGCTCTGGCCCGCCCCACGTGTCTTTCCATTAGGACGCCCTCAGCAAGGTCAAGGGTGGAGAGCTGTCCAGGGAGCCAAAGACGGCTGCGACCACCCTGCCCGGCACTCTGCAGTCGACCAAGACAGGGCTGCAACGGAAAGCCCACGTGAATACACTCCCCCGATTCCACACGAACTCCCGGGCAAACCCTCCCTCCTGCGCCCTGCCCAGGCGAGCAATCCACGGCGCACGTGATGGGCACCGACATGGACCCGTGAGGCCTGGCCCGTTGGCCCAGGCCTGCGGCGCCGTAGAAAACCCTGGCTCTCGCCTCCCGGCCCAACGAGGCAAGACCGCAGGGAGTGGGGAAAGGGCCGGCTCAGGGATCCCGGGCGCCTGGAGGTGGCGGCGCGGGGCGGCCGTGTACCTGTGGGGCAGCGGCAGAGCGTACAGACCGTGAAGCAGGCCGTCGGAGGCGAGTGAGGGACAGAGTGCACAGCGCACACGGCAAAGAGCCCGTGTCCCCTCCCTCCGCCGCTTTCCCCCCGCCCCGCGCCACCGCGTGCGCGGGCGGCTCCCACCCCTTCCCGTCCGCCGGGGCCCGGCAATCGGCACGCTCCATGCGCCAGCTCCGCCCCTCCCTACCCGAGCAGTGCCAGGCCAGCGGGCTCAGCCCCCTCCGGGCCGGCTTAGGCTAGTTCCCGGGTTGCACTCGGTTCCAGAACTTTCCGGGAAGCGCCGCGCTCTCTGTGGGTCAAGGTTCAAAATGCGTCATTTCCGGGAGAGGGGTGAAGAGCTAGGACTTTCACCTCGGCGGGCGGCCTAGAAAAGCCTAGAAAGAACTCCTCTTTTCTTCCGCCTCCGCGTACTCGCGTCAGTAGCCGACGCACAGACCTCGGGACGAATCGCGGCGCGCGCTAGTGCGGCCACCCACTTTTGCGGGGAGGAGCGGGGGGGGGGCGGGAGCGAGCGCGCCTGCGCGCTGGGCGGTCTTTTCCCACGTTCACGTGGCCCGAGGGTCGTACTGCGGGTCTCCTTGCAAGAGGCGGCAGCTCCAGAGCAGAGTACCAACTGCGGCGGTCGGCGTCATGGTGAGTCCCGCATGGGCTGGAGGCCGGAGAGCCCGGCTCTGCTTGAAGCCCATGGGCAGCCGGGCGCTTCTCTTTGGGCCTACCTGAAGGGTAGGGGTCATTGAGTGACCCGCGCTTGCAACAATCCTGGAGAGGCTGGGGCCCACGGACCCTTTTCTCCGCCAAGGGCTCTGCACGCGTGTGGCCCGCACGCCTGTGGACCTGGGGGCTGGAACCCCGACGCACGCGCCGCGGCGAACCCGAGTCTCCTGTGAGGCTTTTGTGGGTGTGTAATATCTTGAAAAGCGTGGCTCCAGGCGCAGGGGTTCACTGTTTTTGCTGAAAATTTCCAGAGAAATTTGAGGAAGGAAAATATTTGACCTTGAAATAAACTAAGGTTGCCCTTAATGCTCATCTGATTGCTGACCAGAGGAGCCAACAACGACCCCTAATATATGCGGAATGGGAAATTAAACTCAGAATGTAGAGAACATTCAAGTAGTTTTCTTTAATGAATAATCTTGAGTTTTGGCGTTGATTTTGAAAGCCACACGTGCTTTTTGATGTGTAACGCTTATAAGGCAATCACATAACTTTTTGTTTCAAATTTAACATTTCTGTTTTTACAGGCAGGGCAGGCGTTTAGAAAGTTTCTTCCCCTCTTTGACCGAGTTTTAGTTGAAAGGAGCGCAGCTGAAACTGTAACCAAAGGAGGTATTATGCTTCCAGAAAAATCTCAAGGAAAAGTGTTGCAAGCAACAGTAGTAGCTGTTGGATCGGGCTCTAAAGGAAAGGTAAATGGGGCTTAGGTGGAACTATTTTAATGTGAAGTGGAGGCGGAAAAAATCGTTGGTGATTATTAAAAGTTAAATAGCTTTGTGTTATCTTCAGGATCATTTCCTAATTCAGTCACGTCTAATCTGCCTCTTCAACGAAAATGACTGTAGAATGAAGTTGCTTATTTTGTGTGATGGAGAGTTCCAGAGTATTAAAATCAGTAACCATTTGGTAGTCTAGTATGACCAGCGTTTTCTTCAAATTCTAATTTTTTGAAAAAACAAATAATGCTTACGGGTGATCCATGGGTGCTTTTACGAGTTGAGGGGAAATTTAAACTCTAGATTTAACCTCTAGCACTAATTGCCCTACTCTTTTAACCATTTTTGGCCTTAGTTGGAATACTACTGAAAGGAATAGGTTGGACCTAGCCTTAGAGGCATTCTCCAACTGATTAGACCTCAGATTTGAAAGTCAGCCAGAATACATAATAAATGCCTTTGGAGTCAAATACATTAATTGCATTGTTCCAGTTGCCTGTAAGAAAGAAAGTTCTAGCAAGGAGCTATCCTGGAGTCAGAATAGGAAGGCTTTGGGGAGGGGGCATTATGCTGCAGTCTCTCTCCTTAAATCTGCACTTTGATTGAAAGGAAATTGAATCATGAAAGAAGTATATGTTCCAAATTCTGTAAATACCTGTTGAATTTTTGTGTATTAGAAGAAATTAAACTTGACTACTATAATCTGGTTTTTAAAACTGATTTCACGTAGTCTGGAGGTTATGTTAATATTTAACAATGAAAAAGTTAGCTTAAGTTAGCTTCACCATTATAACTGAACTTTACTCTGAAATTAGGTTTTAGTTGAAGCCTCCATGTATGCATTGTTTCAGAGTAATTCTACAGTGATATTTTTGAGCGAAGAACTGTGATTATAGTGTAAATCATATCACTTGGTCACCAAATCCTTTTTTAACAGTTGATTTGAATGAGCATATTTAATTAATAAAAGGTGTAAATATTTGGTGAACTAGGTGTTTTGCTGATAAATATCCTTTTTTTTTTTTAAGGGTGGAGAGATTCAACCGGTTAGTGTGAAAGTTGGAGATAAAGTTCTTCTCCCAGAATATGGAGGCACCAAAGTAGTTCTAGATGACAAGGTTTGTAAACTTATTATTTCTTAAAAGTTAAAATATTTGTGGGACTCAGTTAAGCGGCTGCCTTCAGCTCAGATGGTGATCCCAGGGTACTGGAATTGAGTCCCACATTGGGCTCCCTGCTCAGTGGGGAGCCTGCTTCTCTGCCACTCCCCTGCTCGTGTTCTCTTTCTCTGTCAAATAAATAAAATCTTTAAAAAGTTAAATATTTATTACTAGTTTTCTTAACTAATGGCTTCTCTATTTGCAGGATTATTTCTTATTTAGAGATGGTGACATTCTTGGAAAGTATGTGGACTGAAATCATTATTAAAATGGCATGAAGTGAAGCTGCCCATTCCAGTGAAGTTGTGAAATCTTTCATCATGTAAATAATTTTCATGTCTCTCTTTTATAATAAACTAATGGTATCCAAACTAATGATATCCAGTGTCTCCAAAATTTAGTTTTAGTGTACTGATAAAAACATCAGCAAATAAAAATGCGTAAATGAGTGGTTAATCTTTATTTGGTGATTTAAGATGGTTTTAGGGTTCTCCAGTGTTTTGTTTTTTTTTTAAGTAACCTGCAGAGAATTCTGGGAAACAGGCTTTCCAATCTTCACATTGAATTTAGCTTTATTGCACAGATTATTGATGCTGATACAAAGCCATGGATTTACACTTACATTTTTAAAAGCAGTATTTTAACCGCATGTATAACAAGCTTATATTGAAGTATAGTTCTTCATTTGTGGAATCTAGTGTTAAATATCTTGTTTCATAAGTATTTAGAAAAACTTAGTGAAGTTGCCCAGTTTTTAATACTTGATACTACTAAATAATTTACTTTGAAAAAAATCCATGGAAGGTTTAATAGCTACCACTGGTTGAATGCCTTTTATGTGCCAGGTACTGTGTGCTAGTGATTACAGCTAACACCTCAGGAGCATTTTCTATCCACTGGCTACTGTTGTGGGTTCTTGGTGCATATCACTTGCCTTAATCTTTCAGCAACCCTCTGGGGTACAGTCATTCTCATCTTGCGAATGAGGAAGGTAAGGCACACACAGACAAACACACCACACACACGTTGAGTAATAATCAAGCACAGTAGGAAGTGGCAAAGGCAGATTTGGCAGTCCACCTCCAGATGCTGCTGTCTAAAACTTCGTCTGTGGTTACTTTGTCAGATAATTCTAAGCATTTGACACACATTATTTCAATCCTGGTTGATAACCACTGCGATCAGGGATGGGTAGTACCTGAGTGGTAATTATTGGTATCTAGTTCATAATTTGTTGAATTTAACAAATAGGAAACGGAGTTAGAGCTGGACAAATAGCTTGATTTAGCTATAGCAGCTAGAGAGAGAAGGTTTGGACCCAAACAGTCCTATACCAGACTTGATTACCAACCCCTAAACTGCCTCAGACCAGCTATCCTTGGTCAAATTTTCTAGTTTTGGTTACCTATAAATCAGTCTGGTGATCATGTCTTTTAGAGTGTGCCCTGTATTTGTCTTATGGAATTGAAATCTAAATGAAATTGTAAATGGCGGGCACCTGAGTGGCTCAGTTAAGCATCTGCCTTTGGCTCAGGTCATGATCCCAGGGTCCCAGGATTGAGCCCCACATCAGGCTCCCTGCTCAGTAAGGAGCCTACTTCTCCCTCTCTGCTGCTCCCCCTGCTGTGCTCTCTCAAAATCTTGAAAAAATTGTAAATGGCATGGAGTAAGTCTCAACTTTCGGTCATGTCTTCATCAGTAAAGTGTGTATTTACGTTAATGTGTTGGTGCCATTTGGTATACTAAGGCTTAATCTTTGTTATCCTCAGTTACAAGAATTACTAAAAGTTTAATTTACAGCACCCTAGTGGGTCATCAGTTTCCTATTGTCCCCGAAGGACAGCTAGATAATCTGTTTTGCTCTTTATAACCTTGTCAAGCATGGATTTCCCTGTTTTACCAATGAGAAAAGTGACTCAATAGAGATGAGGAAACTTCTTCAAGGCTCCATGGCTGGTAAATTGTAGTTAGACAACCAGTGCAGAGGCCATGTTCCCCAATTCTGTTTTTCGAACACCCAAGCAAATGAGATAAGGCAATAGTTTCCAAACCTTGGATCATCCAAGTATGTTTAAAATTTCAGGACTCCATTTATAATCTCCTAAATTAGAAGGATGGGGGGATTTTTGTTTGTTTTGGTACCATAGAAGTAGTCCCATGATGCTTTAGAAATTCTAGCAGAATTTCTAAAGAAATAATTTTAGATTGTGAGATTATATAGGAATTAATAGGGAAAAGAATTTTGGCATGAGAAATTTAGGGCAAAAAAAGGGTGCTGAGGGTGTGGAACTACGTTTCACAACATTATGCTGTCATTTATCTTTTGGTCAATAAAAAAATAAGGTAAAATAGAATTACAACTGGAATTTTTGTGATTATACTACCATTTTTGAGCATTTGCCATGAACGGTTCTAGGCATTTAATATATAATCTTGCTTAATTACATGTAATCATAGCAACCCAGTGAGGTGGATATTCCTTGCCTTGTAGGTAAAGAATAACTTGCTCAAGGTGATACCCCTTTTAAGTCCTAGCTTGGGATTGAACTCAGGTTTGTCTGACTCCAAAGTATGCTTCAAGGGGTGCATGGGTGGCTCAGTCGATTAAGGGTCCAACTCCTGATTTGGGCTTGGGTCATGATCTCAGGGTCATGAGTTTGGGCTCCACACGTGGCATGGAGTCTGAGATTCTCGCTCTACCCATCCCCCCTACATTCGATCTCTTTCTCAATGAATAACATCTTTAAAAAAGTGTGTCTTAAACTATTCTACACAAAAAGTTGGGGAAATTGAGAATAAAATTACCCGGAAGCTATTGTGTTGCATGGGTATTACTGTTAACATGGTTTTCCCTCCTATTATTCCAGAAAGTGTATGCTTTACAAAAACTTTTATCTAAAAAGTTGATTATAAGATTTCATCTTTATTTTATTATAAGAACACAACATGAGATTTATCCTCTTAACAGATTTTTAAGTGTACAATATGGTATTGTTAATTATAGGCACAGTGTTGTAACAGCACATCTTTAGAACTTTTTCATCTTGCTTATCTGGAACATTATGTCTTGATTAGCAGCTCACCATTTCCCCCTCCCCTAGTCCCTGGCACCTACATTCTACTCTGCTTCTATGAGTGACTATTTTAGATAAGTGGAATATTACAGTATTTATCCTGTGTTTGGCTATTTATAATGTCCTCTAAGTTCATTCATGTCACATATTGCAGTATTTCCTTGTTTAAAGCTGAATGTATATACCATGTTTCCTTTACTCATTCTTCTGGTAGATGGACATTTAGGTTGTTTCTACATCTTTTTTTTTTTTTTT